GTAGAAAAGGAATAGGAGCCAAAAATGGGCAACAAGAAGATGAAAAAAGAAGAAAACTTCATAACTTTGACTAAGTAAGAGAGACAAAGACTGCAAGAAGTAAAGAGAGAAATGAGAAGGAGAGAGAAATTTTACACGAAAAGGAAAGAAGGAAGAAGTAGATGAAGAAGAAGCATAAGAAGACGATGAAGAAGAAGAAGAAGAACAAGAAAAAGAAGAGGGAGAACAAGGAGCAGCAGTAGAAGAATAAAGAATAAAGAGGAGGAGGAGGAGCAGAAGAGGAACACTGTAAATCAGTAAGTAAGAAAGTCAAAGAATACCAGAACTGAAGGCGGAAACAGGGAGAGGGGAGAGGACTTCACGAATAAAAAAAAGACGACGAAGTAGAGAGGAATGATGATGATGATGATAATGATGGTGATGATGGTGGTGGTGGTGGTGATGATGATAATGGTGATGATGATGGTAGTGGTGGTGATGATGATCATGGTGATGATAATGATGGTGATGATGATGATGGTGATGATGATGGTGGTGGTGGTGGTGATGATGGTGATGATGATGGTGGTTATGGTGATGATGATTATGATGATGATGGTGATGATGATGGTGGTGATAATGATGGTGATGATGATAATGATGGTGATGATGATGGTGGTGGTGATGATGATGGTGGTGATGATGATGATGATGGTGATGATGATGATGATGATGATGATGATGATGATGATGATGATGATGATGATGATAACGCTAATAATAATAATAACAATAACAATAACTATAAAGATAATGATTATAAGACGAAGGCGAAAGAAGCCACAGTTCCGAACACCACAGAAGAGCAAAGAAAAAGACGTCGGAAAAAGTGGAGGAGAAGGACTGTCATGAACGAAAAGAGAGGAGGAGGAAGAGGAGGAGAATTACCATAAAGGAGTGAGAAGGAAGAAAGGGAAAAAAGTAAAAGAGGGAGAAAGAGAAAGGAGGAAAGAGAAGAAGAGACACACCTCCGACCCCTGAAAGAGACAGAAAGACGAAGAAAACAAGTAAGAATCGAAGGGGAACACTCACGAAAGAATAGAAAGAGAAAGAGGGAGTACGAAAGGAAGAAGAGGAAGGGAAGAGAGAAGAAGATTTCCCTAGCTCTGAGAAAGGTAGAAAGATAGAGAACGCAAGAACTGGAAGAAAGGTGAGAACGATCATAAAAAGGAATAGAAGGTGGAGGAGGAAGCAGAAAAGAAGAAGAAGAAATAACGAAAGAAAAGGGGGAAGAAGGATAAAAAGAAAGAATGAAAACGAAAACCCTCCAGCCTTCAATTAAAAGAAGACGAAAGAACAACAGAGCAGAAAGAATACCAAAAGAAAGATGAAAACTGCAATAAAAGAGTAAAAAGAGAAAGACAAAGAAAGAGAAAACGAGAAGAAAATAAAGGAGAATAGAACTCCAAGGCAGAGAGACAAAGAACGCTAGAAGTGGAAGGAGGAGAATGAACATATCAAGAATAGGAGGAGAAGGAGGGAGGAAAAAAGGAAGAAGAAGAGCAACGAAAGAAAAGAAAGAAGTGGAAGAGAGAGAGAGAAGGGAAAACTCCACAACCTTGAGTGAGACAGAAAGAGACCAAGAAAAGAAGGAAGGATTCGAGAAGCAGGAAAACGAGCATAAAAGAATAGAAAGGGGGAAAAAGGAGAAACAATGAAAGGAAAGAGGGAATAAGTGAAACGAAGAAAAAAAGATGAATAAATTCCACAACCTTGAGCAAGAGAGAGAGACGAAGATGAATAATACAAAAGAAAAAGATTAAGGTGAAGGAGTACGAGTAAAAAAAAGAAAAGAAAGCGAGAGTAAAAAAGATAAAGAAAAAAAAAAGAAAAAAACAAGAAAACGGAGAAATAGAAAGATGAAGAGAGTGAGTAGATATATTTGAAGAAACTAAGAAAAAGGAGAAATAAATGAATAAAGAAAGAGAGGAAAGAAAGAAGAAAATTCCCCAAGACAGAGAGACGAAAGAGAACAGATCAGAAACAACGAGAAGGAGAACGAGTGTAAATATAAAAATAGAAAGAGAGAGAAAGTAAAAAGTAAGATGAAGAAACAACGAAAGAAAAGAGGAAGACAGGAAGAAAATGAGAAAAAAACAATAATGAGCATGAAAGAGATCAGACGTAGAAGATCAGAGCAGTAAAAAACGAGGAGAACGAGCGTAAAAAAGATAGTAAGAGAATGAGAGTAAATAAGAAAAAGAAAAAGAGAAAAGAATGAAGGAACAGCGTAAGAAAAATTGGGAAATAAATCAAGAATGGAAGAAAAGAAAAGGAAGAAAATCCCCCAACCCTGAGCAAGACAGAGAGACGGAGAACGCCAGATCAGAAGAAAAAAGAAGAAGGAGAAGAAGGAAAAGAAAAAAAAAAAAAAAAAAAAAAAAAAAAAGAAACAACGAAAGAAAAAAAGAGTAATAAATCAAGAAGGAAAGAAAATGAGTAAAAGAAGAAAATTCCCCAACGCTGAGCAAGACAAAGAGACGAAGAGAACATAAAAAATGAGAAGGAAAACGAGCGTAAAAGAACAGAAAGAGAAAGCGAAAAGGGCGAAAAAGAAGATGAAGAAACAACGAAGGAGGAGAAGGAAAATGAAAGAAAATAAGAGAAAAAAGATAAGAAAAATACCCAGAGGAAGAACACCATAACAGAAAAAAAGAAGGTGAACGAGCGAAAAAAAAAAAAAAAAAAAAAAAACGTGATATAACGAGAGTAAAAAAATAATATCTACATATGATGCAACAACGAAAGAAAAAAAAAAAACCCGGCAAATAGACCAAGAACGAAAGAAAAAGGAGAGAACATTCCCCAAGCCCGAA